TATCATAGAATTGGTGTCTGGCAGAGGATGTAGTTGAACTCCAACTTCATTGGGACTTCGTTCTCCCGCGATAGTGGTGCTCGTGCTCAGGCGAGGGCGGATAGGAATCTGGTCATCGATGATTTCGAAATCATCTTCCGAGGAAGCGGCTGGCTGGACGGGATCCATGTTACAGTAATTGGAATATCTTTTATCAGCGGGCTGAGAAACAGTAAATTGGTTCAAAATCACAGACAAGTTTCAAACGTTTGTCCTCCAGACAATGGTTTGGCAAAACAGCGTCAGGATATTTCCTCCAAGCAAAAACAATAGGAATTTTGGATGGCATTTAAAAGACCACTTCAAGGGTATCAGGCAGCAGTCCATCGCTGTGACGTCCTTCATGATTCGCTAACGAATGTCAAAGGTGAGGGGAATCACCCACGACCGTTCAAACTTTCACGACCTTAGCCATGTTAGTGCTTTGAAAATGCCGATGCTCGAAAAACGACCAAGCCAAGGCGCCTTTCGATGCCGGCCATTTGAGAGGACTTGAAGCTGCATGGCTCAGGAAGAAAGGAGGTGGGAGACGTGTTTCCTGCAGAAACCTTGGACAGAGTCTTTGAGATGACTTGTGTGATACGCCGATACTACCAGCGACCCGTAAATTGCCCCGCATCCGTTGCAAGAGGGATCCTATGATAGGATTGAATCACTGTGGGCATGAAGGATTTCGCATGATATTGGTCGACGTTGTCTTGAGGCTGGATTAAAGTTAAAGTTAATGGCTTGGCTTAGAGTCATAGTCGTTGTGCGGCTGAGCTCCTTGACTCCAGGCCATGGCATTTCAGCCTTGGCGCTGACCTTATCCAAGACTCCCCTTGGCACCAGGCCAAGAATGGAATTGAATATTTTGCAATGAATTCAGAGCAGACACTGCTTCACAAACAAAATCACTATAGCCACAGTCAAGAAGAGAGTCTTGCACTTCACATATCATCAAATTTTCAAAACACCACCACATTAATGCTGCCTGTCTAGTGTATTCAACCATTATCCAAAGCTACCACCTTTCACCACCTCTGAGAGCCAGATCTCCCAAGTACTCCGTAGAACATCCATCGCAGTTCAATCTGAACGCATTTATCAACAAAGATCTTTTTGCTATGCAGGAGCCAAATTAACTCACTTAGTGATGACATTCTTGCAGAACAGATTAAGAGTCAATTCAATTCATCAGAGTTCTACAGCTTCTGAATATATTGAGATTCAAGTTCACAGATCAAATCAGCACCCTCAATAACTACCACTGATAGCAAATAGCATATTACAGAGCCAGTTGTCGGCAATGTCATTCCTTTCTTCTATGACTCTTAACCTTCCATCCCTCTCAGTCAACAAGCAATCCACTGTTTTGACACTCCCTCCTCAACTTCCAGACTACTCAAATCAAGCTCTCAATCAATCCCAGTATACTGTATACTCCCAGCAACGTAGTCAGTTGTCTGGGAGGTGTTAGCTGGTGAAGATGACGCACGGAGTGAAACATCGAATGAGCCAGTTCTACACAATGAAAATACACAGAATGCAGCTCAGAGCCAACAAGTTAACTGCGATGGGGAGATGGGTGTGAGGTTCTCTTCTTGACTTGCGGTCTACATTGCAGGCCAAGTTATTTGTAGTAAAGCCGTGTATGTATCAAACCTATTAAAAATAGTTAATTATTAGCTGAGTTTGAATAGTATCCATCCCTCAAGAGATGGCGGATTGTCCTCGTGTTAGCCATGCTAACATGTTCCTACTGAAGCAAACCGCTTCCTGGCTTCAAATCTGCTTGCATGATATGCAACAGTTCCTCTAGTTAAACTACCATTCCTTGTATGCAGATAATCAAGCGTATAGTCATCCTGCCTTCCATCATCTGTTATTACCGAAAGTAAAGCATAACTAACTCCAAGATCTAAATGTAAATCATCGCTAACAGAAACAAAGGTTTAACCTATCACAAACTCAAATTTCATTCTTCTCATCCGCAATTTCCCACACCTCGATCCCGTCAGCAATAGTCAGCTTCCAAGTTTTAAATTCAACACTTTCATACAATTCGTTCGCAGTTGCTATTGCCTGTCTATGCCACGGCCCAAGTCCTCCACGTCTCGCGTCCTCCTTGCTTCGCCAGATACCTGATGATCATGAAAGAGTTTATATCAGCCCAATGATATTGACCCAACGTCCACCCAGAGAAAAACACGAAGAAACGGGGGGAATCAACAGGCCCACTTCCATTTACAGGTTGCCAAATTCCTAAATTTCTCATCCTTGATCCCAAACCAGTATTTCAACAGCCCACCGCTCACAGTAGCTCCCCAATGAGAATATAAGTCGAGCTCCATGAGCCTGTCGGAATCTGCTGTTGGAAGCAGGACGGATCGAAACGTCACGACATGGAATGACAGGTCCTTCCACTCATGGCCTTCTGCAATTGCCAGATCCCTCAGCACATCCATCACAAGCTTCCAATTGAACGATTCAATATATTCTGCTACTGCATAATCGGATCGAATGGGTTTGAGAACCGTCAGCGCTTTCGCGAGGAGCTGGCTAGAAGGATCAAGCGTATGAAGATCTAGATGATGGCCGTCCCGATTATACGGGGATGAGATGAGATGCGAGCTTGACGGAGCGGCTTCCTGATACTTGAGTCCCTGCTGTAGTTGGAGGGACGATGCACCTTGGAATGCGAGAGCGTTAAAGTCATCTGTTACAAGACTGTGGTGGAGGACCGGTACTTTTACAGGGTAGGTGGGTTTGGGGCCATTGTGTGTTGATCCCATTACTTCATTTATAGTAGGGGAACAAAGACTGGCGATGCTGGCAACGGGCAATTGATCTTAAGAGGCCACCAATAATTCGGACATTAACTACCAAGGAAAGAAAATTCTGCTCACAACTCAGAGAAAGGAAAAGAAAAAGAAGCACAAAGAGCAGCTCACGCCATTCTAAATAGTCTGAAGAACCGATACCACTGTTATCAACGGGAAAATCAGAACGAATGGAGAGCTTAAGATAATTGGCCAGCTGACGGAAATCAGTGAGACCCATTAAAGTTGCAATTTCTTTCTTTCTTTTTTTTTTTTTTTTTTTTTTTTTTTTTTTTTGCCAGACATCCTCATATGTACAGTACATCAAAATATTCTGTATAACAATACCTGGTTTACCAATGATAACTAACGCCTGGTATCACACTGTGCATCCTATAAAAGGTGTCATAAATAATGCGCCATCCCCGCCCACTCATGCACAAAGAACCCACAAGGAAGAAAAAGAAACAGAGTAATGATACACCAAAACTGGGTCAGAAATTCCAAACAGCTAGCGTCATTTTGTTTATCCGGAAGGGGGCGGGCGGGTGGCATC